TCTATGACGTACCTCCGCTGCTACATATAAAAACACACACAACCCACAACTCCTCCATTCGCTCTGACGAAGGGCTAACGCTCGAAACTTCAGCTTTTTTATTCGTTACGGAGGCCAATTTACATATTTCAACAGAGTTGATATAACCAAATTACATTGTAAAACTGAATGTTGTCAGGTACTTACGAAAATCTCTGTGTATAAAAATCCGCTTTTGTCTTCGAAAGAATCGAAGGCTTGTAAGTGGGTCATGTTATTCAACTCGCATGTGAATGTCCCACCTGCCTGCGGACCGTAATTGTAAGACACGCAGTTTGGTTCAAGATGGCATCTCAACTCACAGATATCCTTGTCATTCACTTGGTCTGTCCTAATAACGTGATTTTTTAATATCTTGTTTTTTGTTCCTTCTTTGAATCGAATCACTCGACAATCATCTGGCGGAGGAAGAAGGAATAAAGAAGCCAATGAGAATTATAATCTGCAATGTCCTTTCATTCTTCAAAGGCAGAACAGGTGGTAAGCCTTTCCATATTTTTGGAAACTGAGTTATTTAGTCAAATTGCCTTCTACACAAAAGCCTTTTCTACTCAGTCATTTACCTTTCCACAAAAGTTTATTTCTTCGGACCTTTTTTCCTTTAAGAGAAATAGTCCAACCTAATACTCTCTCACTCACGATGGGTGAGGGCTGATATCAAACAATTACAGTGTAGAAGATAAATAATTTATTCTAGGGGATAGTCATTCTAAAAAATGCTATATTGTTAATCGCCGCCGGAATGTTATGATCTAAATCAGGTGTGGTACACAAGGCAGCTGACAATTATTTCCGTTTCTGTGGTAGATGAACTCTGGGAGATTATTTCTTATCACAAAAGGAATAACCGGTTGGAGGACTGACTTCGACATACCCTTAATACGCAAATTTTTAAGAGCCATATTTCCCGTGCTATTTGCTCCACACTGGTTATTTGCAGAAACACAATCCAGACAGGTAAAGAGAGCCAAGAGTATGAAGCATTCCATTTTCTGCAACATTTTTCCTGTTTAAAACATTGAAAAATATTAAGGCAATTTTACTGAATCTTGGAAAAGTAAGGCGAATTTTCTTAAACGCAGTGGTGTACTGTTTCATAAAAAAAGAACTTGTGAAAAGTATATCGAGCTACCTTCGTCGTCTCATTTTACAATCTTCAGCACCTTTGCCTAATTTTACTTCAGTTGTCTTAATGACATTTGTGTGTCACTAGCCGGGAATAAATGGGTGTATTTTTCCGCTTTCGCTTGTTTGATTGAACACCTCAATTTGAATTCACCCTCCATAATACCGTTAATAGAACTATTCTTACCTTTCAAGAAGTAATTCACTTTCAAATATTTGGGGTGTTCTTTGTTGTGCGGTCGTCCGATTTTGTTATCACTCGCATGGATACAGACGGAGCTGAACTCTAGACAGTCCCATTACCACTTCTCATCGGTTGACGCACATCAGCTATGGTTAAATAGCGAGCGAGTAGTTAAAAAAACAAAGGAGGACTCTGGGGGAGAAAAAAATCTCCCTAGCAACAAATATACCTAAATTCATTTCCTGTGGCTTGTATATTGCTGCTTGACAATTTGAGCCACTGCTTGAGGTAAAGTTATGGTAACAGAACTTAACCTTAATCATAATAATGATAATGCTTATCGTTATTATAATTGCAAACGAGTGAATTCGACCGCTAAGTATCAAATTTAGAACAAGTTTTCTGTGAAACTTGGCGAGCTGAATTACTTTGGTCCTCCGCTGCGAGTTCAAATCTCCCTAACGACTTATAAAAATAATGAAAAAAAAAAAAAAGAAAGTCAAAAAAAATACCTCTCTCACCTTTTCAGAGGAAATGTATTTTATTCTCTTTTGAAAAGGTACACCTTCGGAAAGGGATGTACCATTTCATTCATTCTCTTTTTAACGTTCAACAGCTATCATTATTAAGCATACAGAAAGTTATTAGAAAAAAAGATAAAATGCACAAATCCAGTA